ATGGGGGGGGACTCAGACACTCGGGGTCTCTCCCCAGCTCGGGGGCAGCCGGGGGCTGGGGGACAGGGGCCCATCTTAACCCCCCATGGTGCTGGGATGACCCAGACCCCCGTGCGGCGGGGCAGAGATGGGCCCGGGCTGGTGCAGGGTCCCCCCCACCTGACCTGAGACCCCAAGTGGCCCCCCCAGGCAGACTCGCCCCAAGGATTCAGGGGCAGAAGGATGCCCACGCTGTTGCCTCTGGAGCCTAACGACGGCCCCAGGAAGCAGCAGTGGCCTCCGCGGCGCTGAGGGCAGAGCAAGGCACTGCCGGCCCCTGTGACCCCAGGGATGCCGCCTCGAGGGTCCACAGCTTGCCTGGGGAGCCTGCAGCCTGGAAGCCCCCTCCCGCCCCGTGCAGGCGACCGTCTGAGTGTGCAGAGAGCATGAACCCGCTGCTCGGAGCTGCCCCCACGTGCCCAGGGGCGACCCCGGGGCTGGCGTGTGCGCCCAGAACTGGCCCTTCTTGTCCAGATGAGGCCCAAATGCCGCCACTACTGTATTGTCTTGCGTATAACACGCACCCTCCTCCTGCTCCTGCTCAGGCCAATGGAAGGCGCCAGGAAGGGCCCCCCTAAGAGCGGTGAGCTGGATTGGTGGAAAGACAAGTCCTTAAAAAGGAGGCTCAGCTGCTGCCCTTAGCGGCTGAACCAGACGCTGCTGCACCGTGGAAGGCAGGACCGAGAGGGGCCTTTCCCCCAAGGGAAGGAATCAGCTCCCCCAGCTAATCCCTGCACCCCAGATCAGGGGGGAGCAAATTTTGGGGGGAAAAGTGCGTGATATATGTGAGAAAAGACATTAGCAACAAACCCTCTTCTGTGGAGCTCTCCCAGTGCAGGCTGTTGAACCCATTCCACAGACAGGTAAGTAGAGAAAAGGCACAAAGCTGCTCAAACAGGCCGTGGTGAGATGATGCCTTTAATTAACCCTTTCCCTGACAGGTGGGAAAGGAAGAGGAGGGGGTGGCTGTGCGTCAGAGCCAGGAGGAGTGGAGGGCAATGCCCGGGGACCAGATCTGCATGGCCCCAGCTCCTGCTTGCGGGTTTGCTGACGGCAGGATGAGGTGGACTCAAGCCTTGCGATGGGGAGTGGAAGCCTCGGCTGGGCGTCCAGGCCACCCCGATATGCGGATACGGGCACAGGCTGGCTTAAATGCACCCCGCCAGCAAGCTGTTGGGCGTCGGGGTGGGGTGGGGGGGTGCAGGGTCTCAGTGCTCCCAAAACCCGGGCATCGGGGGAAACCCCAGGAGGAAGAGGAGGGGAGCCGGGCAAAGCCGATAGTTGTGGGGAAAGAATCAGTTCCCCGGGCGCCACCCGGATCTCTCTCCATCTTGCTTTTATTAAAGCTTCTCATTAGAATCGAGTACAAAGATGATCTCTGCGGGACCCCCAGCCAAGCGGGACGGGCCCCCTCCGGGCAGGGCCGTACGAAAATACAACTTAAATACAAAAATAAAGGGAGGGGGATAGACTTGCACCCGGGGCCGGGGTCAGGTCAAGACAAGGCAGGTTGGGGAGGGGGAAGAACCAGTGGGGACCCTGAGTGGGACGAATGGCTCTGATTGACACCCACTGGGTCTCAGGATGTGGCCTATCCCGTGCCGTTGGGGG